TGTGTGTGTGTGTGTGTGCGTGCGTGCGTGCGTGCGTGTGTGTGTGTGTGTGTGTGTGTCATGATGGAGCATGGCCACACTGGATCCTCACGCAGTAGCTTCCTTCGGGGACATCATGCACCCTTCTCACCACCACTTCTCTCTCTTGGAACTGTCCTGCCCTAATGCCTGGGTGACAAGACAGACCTCTTGTGGCCGTTTCCTACTGTGTGGCCATGTCCTGCCCTCACCCCTGGATACAGCTTATTGGATTAGGAGTGGAACCCTGACCTAAACTGGGCCCATTCCGTTTTCTCTCCTGGGTGTTTGGGACTATGTTGCGAAGGGAAGTCTATTTATTTTGTAGTGAATTAACATGTAATCTTGGACGATCTGGGCAGCTATCTTCCACTTTGCTGACTAAGTAGCAAAACAAGTCTGTTGGAAACAGAAAGGGAATGATGTGCAGAAAGAGGCTGAGCCAGTGCTTGACCTCTCTGGGCCCAGGCCCACTCTGCCTGTGTGGTCTATGAGACACTTTTGTGTTCATAGACAAAATCTCTTGTTTTCTGCTTGATCCAGCACGCTGGCTATAGTCATTGCAACCAGAACGTCCCTTTTCTGCAAATAGTCGTTGCTGTTTGGCCATTTGTTTAATTGACTCAGGGTCAACAGGAAACTAGTAATAGGCAATATTTAAGCAAAGTTTATGGGATTAAAATTTACATTTGAAAAAAATATATACTTGTTAGCTTATTGTTTCCCCGTGACAGGAGGAAGCCATTGTTTGCTTTTGACTGGTCTGCCCTTTGGCCCCACTCAGGACACCCATGTGCTGCCAGAGTATGGCTGGGCACCATGGACTGGAGACAATGGACCGGGCATTTTTCAAAGGGATGACTTAACTGAGTACCTGGACCATCATGTGCTGATTTCATGCCATTTGCCTCACTGAGCATTAAGGGGACATATACAACAATTCCTGGGAAATGCGAAACATTCCCTTTTCATTGCAAGAACAATGCATATAGAGCATTTTAAAACTCACAATGTAAATGACGACATGTTGTTTCCCATTTCTGTGAACTCACAGTAGCAGCCAAATGATCTTCGAGGACACTGTCAAAGGTTTACTTGACCCTACAGCCCCTGACAATACCATTACTTGAATATAGGATGCAAATGAAGATTTTTTGGTAGCATTTCTTGCTTTTCTTTGTGGCATTACTGCTATTTTTTCTCTCCAAGAATAGCAATGGATTATCCTTAACCCAGGGAGAAGCCCCCAGGCTGCAGGTCGTAAGACAGCCTGGGCCCCTTCTGGCTCACAAAGCAGAGGAGCAAGCAACGGGAGGTCGTGCAGACATTTCTGTAATTCTCAGGGTCTAGTCATGGCACAGTCTGAGGGAGTGGTGGGTAAGCATGGGGTGCAGGCATTTTTGTTTTTCAACTACCAGCCTTCTGTGGATACTGAAATGGCCCTGCTTTGCAGAAAGAAACTCACAGTCTGATTAGAAGATAACATATGCTGTGAAATAGAAGATGAGTACTTGACTCACTCTATGGCTCCACGCACTACAGCTGCCTGGGAAGGACACCTGTTGCAATTCCCATCTTCCTCCCCTCCCCTCCCCTCCCCTCCCCCTTTTTAATTTAATTTTATTTTTTTGAGATGGAGTCTCACTCTGTAGCCCAGGCTAGAGTGCAGTGACACAATCTCGGCTCACTGAGACCTCCGCCTGGGTTCAAGCAATTCTCTGCCTCAGCCTCCTGAGTAGCTGGGATTACAGATGCCCACCACCACACCCAGCTAATTTTTGTATTTTTAATTGAGATGGGGTTTCACCATCTTGGCCAGGTTGGTCTTGAACTCCTGACGTCGTGATCCACCTGCCTTGGCCTCCCAAAGTGCTGGGACTACAGGCGTGAGCCACTGTGCCTGGCCCAATTCCCATCATCTGCTCCTTGTCTCTATCTGGGAGAGCCTGTCCCATGCTTCTGCTGCTGCATCTTGACAGACAAGTTAGCACCACAGATTGGTCAGAGGGCCAGAAGGGCAGAAGCTCTGAGAAAGAACACAGTGGAGACCATTCCCTATTCTCTCTTGCTTGCCTCAGAGAAGACAGTGGTCCCAGCCAAAACAGAGGGTTCTCTTGGGGCTCTGTCTTCTTCTGATTAGATCTTTGCTAATTTCCACAGCTGCATTTATTGCCTTATAATAAAGCAACCTAGCTTCAGACATGCTATTTATTTGTAGATAGATTTTATGATGTAATAAGATAACAGCAGTGGGAAGCTGAAGCCCAAATTGGTGTTTACCTTTCTCTGGGTACCTTTCTGTACTTGTGGCAGCCCTTCGAAGACAATTCAGTGTGTATCAAAAGATTTTTTCCCCCTGTGATTTTGAAGCATGAAAAAATATCATCCCTGACCCAAGGAAGATGAGAGTAGCAAATGAAAGACACCAACAGGACACAGAGAAAACTCTACCCAAAAGAGCACACAGCTAAAGAACAAAGGCAGAAAGAACTCAGGTGTGACCAGGATTTTCAAAAGCAGGATCAGAGAGGAACTGATGGAAGAAAAGCTTATAGCTAGAATAGAATAGGAACTCAGAAAATTGGTGTTGTTTTGGGCTTATTTTCTTTGGCATCTTGCTCACCAAAGGACAGAATGATCAAAGGATGGATGTCACCAGGAGCTATGCACAGGCCATTCCTGCCTAGAGCATGGCACACTTTTAGGAAAATTCTTTGAGGGAAGAACTGATGTGACCACCTAGATTTTCCCAACGACATGATTCGCATTCTTTATAGTAAGCAGTTTGTAATGGCTGGAGCCGAGAATCTGTGAAGGGGTTTACACAGGGCTGAGCAGGCTCTTAAGAGAAAATAAATCAAACTACACCTGTAACTGGGATGGACTGTCCTAGGAGCTGGGTGAGGGAGGGACTGGAGAAGAGTTGGCCTGCAGGGAGAGATAGGAGGGGACACTGAGACATAATTTTCTGTAATGGAAAGGCTGACCCTGCTTACTCAGGTGACAGTCTCTCTTTCTTTTCTCTCATGTAATTCTTAGTCACTCCCTTTAATTATAGTTATGTTTCTGTGTGATCCCCTGCTGGAGAGAAGACTCCTCCTGGAGAGCTCCTGTGGTCTTTAGCAGGGTTCTTATGAATGGGCACTGTTGGAGTAAATGGCATGGCCAGAGTTCTCTGCTTTCAGATTGCAAACCTGGTGCCATTCACAAGACCAAAGTGGCCTTCCTTCCTCATTGCCCCTGTGAGGTAGCAGACTCTCAGCATGTCTGCATGTCACCACATCTGGAAGAGGCATGCGGGTACCAGAGGCTGAAAGTTGGCTTGCTAGGAGACAACAGTGAACAGATACACGATTGACTTCACATGTCTGCTGAATTTATTTTCACTGTAGAAGTGCCAGGAGATTAAAATAACAACAACAACAACTTCCTTAAGTCCCAAAGGCAGTTGAGCTAGGAGTTTAAGAGGCGAACCAGGAAAAAATTTATACCATCATCTGGAGGGGTGCCCCAAGACATGAGCCAACAAGGGGAACAGGGATTGGAATTAAGCTCAAGGAGATCTGGGGGCTACAACTTGGGGTTATTTCATATACCCTGCCAAAGCACAACACCCCCACTCAAATTTTTGCAAGGAAGGAAGGAAGGAAGGAGGGAAGGAAGGAGGGAAGGAAGGAGGGAAGGAAGACAGGCCACTTGGTCCTGTGGATGGCACCAGGTCTCCAATCTGAAAACAGAGAATTCTGGCCACGCCATTTACTCAAACAGTGCCCATTCATGAACGCCATGCTCAAGACCACAGGAGCCCTCAAGGAGGGCTTTAACTCCACAAAGGCCAGGGGATTCACCATTCAATTTTGCCTTAAAATTTCCCATTTTTTGACCACTGAGCATCTGTCACATAGCTCTTCATTGCTGGGGGATCCCATCTGGATGCCTCTCTAGGCACCTGACAGTCAATTCTAGTCTCCCCTCACTCCTCTTCCACTTGTGCACCCCTGATCCCAGCTAACTATGCAATGCTTCTTGGTTATTTCCATAGCTGGGAGTTCTGCCAAGCAGTTGCTGACTGAGCCTTTCTGGAAGTCTACTGGGCAGCAAGAGATGGGCCTCTCTGCAGGCTCTTCATTCCCAAGGATATTCAATATCAACTATTACGTTAGGTCTGTTGCTCCAATATTCTCAAAGATAGCTCCTCTGTTCCCTTATCCCAGGGACAGTAGGACACAAAAAAACTCTCTAAGCAAACCTCCAATTTTCTAGACCGAGA